TTCTACGTTGCATGCCAACGCCCAGTTGCTGGTTCCGTGACGTCACTAAGGTAGAGCTACGGATGAAACAGCCGTGAGTACACAGGACGACGTGTATGTACCACCACAGACGCGACGGTTGCTCTTAGCAGGCAATTTGGTTGGCTAACAACTACGAGCCGTTTGCTGGTAGAGCCGAATCAGTTTAGGTAAATTCTAACGGACTCGGTGATTGCATTGTCTACAGTGTTTTAGCTACCGTTTGGACTACTTGGTCTAGCAACAAGCTTTAGTAATACATTTCATGTTGGCAGATCGTCGTCATGCTACTTGGACTTAGATGCCGTCATTTCTAACGGTAATTTTTTGAATGTGTGACGAAAGGAAGTTTTATAATTCATTATGCAACATAGCCAGGCAAGCAAGCAAGGCAAGTGGAAGGCAAATACCTCTATGGCACCAAGGACAAGGCTTTTTCTAACAGAGTTGTATTATAGCTAGTACTAGTAGTGTGAAATAGCCAGTTGGTTTGCCTTGCACTGATATAAAAAGTCACACCCTTCGTTTCAGAAAATCAGTGCACGACCAGCAGTTCTACGAGGGACTCTAACTACACGGCAATGGAGTCAAAGGAAGCAGTCAGTGTACCATACTGATATTTCTTGTCCTGTCTCAGCTCATAACGAATGGGACCCTCTGGAGGTATGTACATTGTGAAATGGAGGGTGGTACGAGGACGCAGCCCGAGTGGTCTATCAAAACTGAAGCCACGAGTGTGCAACCAGTAAATAGCGTGTTTGTATGATGACCTCTGGCGATAAGGCTAGCTCTGACCAATGGGATTGCGCAAAAGCTTTCAAAGCGCCCTCGAGTGCGCAGAGAGATAGCAACCGATCTGGAGAGAGACGGCTGTAATAAGCGCTTTAGTTTAGTCCAGCTTGGCGGTTTTGCAGAAGCCACGGGCATTTCTCGAGAGTTCAACGTTACAGGTATGTCAAAGCTATTCTTTATCGCTGCTAGACCCCATGCGCAAGTTTTGTAGCTGCCCCTCTGGCTCGCTTTCTCCCTCCCGCTATACCCAGCGCTCCCTAGAATGCAACCTGTTGCAATAGCAAGAAAGCTGAAAGTCACCGAATACCACTGGAGCGTACGCGTCGGGAAGAAGCTTTCGCTAGTTTTCAGACAGTGTATATACTAGAGCAGTTTCCAGCCTGAAAACATTCCCTTCTGGTAAAGAAACAGCAGCACACAAAGAGTGTAAAAGCCCCCCAATTGCACTACACGCTGCCAATTTCCTACTATCCTATAACTACCATATTATATACCCACTGTGGTTTATGACATACAGCGATTGTGCGTGGGCGCATGTTTCAGATATTTTTTTCAGCAAAAACGCTGGTGATTTATGGTGTATTTAGGTATATTTCTCGGATTTTTCCTACCTTGTTTTCCAAACTATAGCATATCATATTCCTCCTCAATACATTCTCTATGGGAGAGAACACTCGTGCGCGACTCACCGGGAGCGAACGGTCCATCTCCATTATGCGCAGTGGCTTTCTTTGCCTGCTTCGGTACGCGGGAGCTATACGGGCGTGACCTGGCAAAGGTGAACGTGTGAAAACGTATTGCTCAAAACTTGGCCACGCCTACTTTTCGGGATGGCTCTAATACGCCTGCGCGTGCCGCAGGAGGCAGAAACAACGCCAATCGTAAAGTATGGGGAAATCGCATGCTCTATGGTCGTAATCAGCACGCTACGCATCTACGCTGTTTGGACCAGCTGGAATTCCTTTGATCTTACTCTACGTTGTTTTCGTGCCAATAGTACACAACCTTCAAATTTTACTATAGCTCAACTTTGTATCCCATAATCAAAATCTTAGCTTAGCTCTAATGTAAATGAAGCCAGCTTGCCAGCTGTGATTAAGTTTTACAATTTCTCTACATGTAGGAAGTGATTGTTGGGCGTGTTGAGGGAGCTACTGTGCCGAACCTCACCTGCGAGGTGCAAGCCTGTGTCCAGGAAAGAAACTGGTCCTTCTTCAGGGAATTTGGTGGGCAGTCCTTCCCTCCTGAGCATCTCGAGAAAGCAGCTGCTGAAGTCGAGGAGTTGTGTCATGTCTTAAAAGGGGAGGGGGTGACTGTTTGAAGACCAGAAGTTGTGGATTTCTCTCAGGGCTACAAGACACCTGATTTTGTCGCAACAAGTGGACTCTATGCAGCAATGCCTCGCGACATCCTGATGGTTGTTGGGAATGAGATTATTGAGGCACCAATGGCCTGGCGCTCCCGGTTCTTTGAGTACAGGGCCTACAGGTCTCTTTTAAAGGAATATTTTAAGGTATTATGCACTGAAGGGTGTCAGGGTATGTACATCGATCATAATAATTTGTCCACTAGAGCTGGCAATTTTACAAACAAGCCTCTACACTTTTGTCACCCAAATTTATGTTTCAAGCTATATACATTATTCTTCACAGATGCATGCATGTATGACAAACACACGTTGTATTGCTATTCGCTTTCCAGTGTGGAGCGAAGTGGACAACTGCACCTAAACCACTGATGAATGATGAACTCTACAACAGCTCTTTTTCCATGGTATGCATATAGCTTTGCCATATTGCTTACAGTGTTATGATATCCAACTATTTACATGTAGAAAGATTCCTCTGGACCATTCGTTACCACGGAATATGAGCCTTGTTTTGATGCCGCTCACTTCATGCGAGCTGGAAAAGATTTGTTTGTTCAAAGAAGCCATGTAAGTTTAACACAGTGACACCCTGATAAAAAATAAACATGAACGGTAGATGTGAACTGACGGGCAAACACAAAATTAAGATCCCTATAGGTTATACTGCTACCTTCATCTACTTTCTAGGTAACAAACATTTTTTGGAATACAGTGGATGAAACGCCATCTTGGAGAAAAGTACAATATTCACGTTCTCAGTTTTGATGATCAGAATCCAATGCACATCGATGCAACCTTCACCCCGATAGGACCAGGCCTGGTCATAGTCAATCCAATAAGACCTTGCCACCAACTTAGTATGTTTCAAAAGGCTGGATGGAAGGTAATAGCTACTTATGGCATCCGTGATCATAGGGTATATATGTAGACCTAGACAACTCTGCTGTGCAGATGGTAGAAGCTCCTGAGCCGGTGAAGCCTGATGTACGACCATTGTGGATGGGTTCCAAGTGGCTCTCAATGAATGTCCTCATGCTGGATCCAAAGAGAGTTCTGGTTTCATCCATAGAGATCCCCACTCAGAAGATGTTCGAGAAACTAGGAATCAAGTGCATCAAGGTCTCTGCAACCACTTTTAAGTAGTGATAGCACCACATGCTCAATTATATTCTTAGCGTTATAGCTAATGCATGTTACAAATTTTTATGCTCACACTAATACATGTACACATAGCTACGACTGTCTGTTGATTCACCTCTCCTTCGTTTCACAGATTGATATTAGCCATGCTAACTCACTTGGAGGGGGTTTCCACTGTTACACAACTGATGTCCGCCGCAGAGGAAATCTTGAGTCCTACTTCTGACACACTCTCTGCAAACATTAGTATTGTTAGGGGCCGCGTGCATTTGCGCGTCCACGCAGGTGCGCGCGATCCCAAAGAGAATTACAACAAATTAGCGCCCTACGCGCAGTGTACATACAATCGTCGACATAGCTACACCAGAACAGTAAAATACTTGCCAAAGTTCTCAATGGGTACTGAGTCACTTCGCCTATGTCAGTGTCTGCCATGCGGCGGTTGGGTCAGGAGTAACACTGCAGCACAGACGGTCGACAGGGAACTGAAGCACGTCCTGGATAATGGCGTTAAAGAAGAAAGAGACGGTGAAAGTCGGTGGGAGACGTTGAGGAGGGTTCTTGTGGCTGCTCTACTTAGCACAGTTTTGTTTATCGTATCATGTGCGTATTCCATTGTCGGATCCTTCTTTCCAATTGAGGTAAGGTAGCTACCGAGCTAGCTATTATTAGCCACGTATATAGGTATATAGGTAGCCTAGGCTACGTATGGCCTCGGATATAGTAGCTGCAGAGCCAAGGGCTAGGGATGTTTTCTACTCTAGCAACGCACTGAATGGGTGGTTTCTGTGAAGGAAATGTCATGCAATTATTATGACTGTTGCGGCAGGCAAAGGAGAAGGGCAGCAATTCACTTACTACTGCTATAATTATTGGAGCCTCTCCACTCTGTTTGGCAATCCTTACTCCATTCATTGGATACTTTGTGAGAACTGCACACATCCACAACTGTTTAACCGTATGACAGACCCAACCATTTTCAGCTTCCAAAGTTAGGCATAAAGGCAACACTGATATCTGGACAAGCGTTGGTGGTGGGAGCATTTGTTCTGATGGGGTGAGTAGCTACTTTATTTTATAGATAGAGTCATATAAACTAATTTAGGTTTCTGGGCTACATGCCGTCAGCCACATGGTTTGTAACGTTTGGCATACTGATGAGACTAACAGAGGGAGTAGGCTGGGCTATGGCAGCCACGACTAGTTACGCTCTCCTACCATCCCTCTTCCCCATCTCGTGTTGCCACACTCAATGTAAGTTCTGCATGAAGCTGAGGCTTTCTCGTTGGGCACCGTCTTATACATTGCAGGGAATACTATTCTTTGGAAGTGGACTGGGGTTTACTTTGGGTCCACCAATTGGAAGTTTACTTGTCGTGGTAAGATGAGGGAGGTATGGTCGAGTTGATTCATGCCCCATCTACACCTTTATTTCTATGCAAGATACACTTGCATGCCACATTCAGCTACTTTTGCATCCAACTCAGTTGAATCACCAATGTACATCAGTAATGGTGCGTGCTACGTGAGCTTGCCAGTATACCTTTAAGCACTTTAGGCACAAATACTCAACATGCCTAGCTCTTTTGGTATGCCTATGCGCTGGGCTGAAGTTGGCTTGGGCATATCTGGTGAGATATCCATCTTCTTTACTACCAGCTACCACAGGCAGCCGGTATGGTGCCCCATTCTGGGGATTGTGGGAGGAGTCTCTCTCACTCTGTTCCTCTCACCTGCTTCCTTGTGAAAGAAACAGTGAGAACATCTCAAAAATGTACCAGCCACCAATACTATAATTATTGTTTTATTACGCGCATTCATGCGCACACAAACACACATGCACACCCACACCCACACCCATACACACTTACCCACCCACACACACAGGCTCGCCTACTCAAGTCCTCCTTCCACTTTTGATAGTCTTCAAGCTCCACAGTCACCTCAGCTTTCTAATGACCCGTGAGTTTGGAGATCTGGTAAGCTAGCTAGCTAATGTTAAAACCACGTTATCTGCAGAAATCTGTAACATGGTTTCATCTGGTACCCTTACATTTATGGATGCAGCTCTTGCAGTCTACTTGCATGCAGAGGTATATAGACATAATATTTTCTTTTATAACCATAAATTAACTGTTATTGGATATTAGGTTGGCCTGAACCTGCTGAGATAGGTACATACTTTGCAGTACTGTCGGTAACGTATGTGCTGGGCTCAGTTCCAGCTGGCTTGCTGTCTGACAAGTTTGTAAGTCTTATGTGTTGTTTAGTTTCATCATCCATGAGGGATATTTTCAGGGGACAAGAAACATTATAATAACTGGGATGTTTGTGGACGGAACTTCACTCATTCTGCTGGGAATAAGTCCATTGATCCCATTACCGTTAGTGAAATAGTATTATTGTGCCGCTGGGGCCCTCTGTATTTTCTGGATAGGCACATGTCAAATGTTGATCCCTCACTCCCACGAGCGTGGTTTTAAAGGATCATAGTGGCTTTGTTATACACAGAAGTATTTCTCGTATTTGTGATGCACTTGAATTGACACTGTGCTCATGATTATGTTGTTTACAGTCGCCGTTGGACAAACCTGTTTACTCTGGCACTGATAGGATTTGGAGCAGCTGTAGGTCATGTGCCCGCGTACTCTGACCCTCTTTCAGCAAGCACAGTGAGAAGAATTTAATCACACACAGTTAGCTAAGCTGGCTCAAATGCTGACGTAGGGTCTAAATAGTATCATTGCAATGTAGTAGACTCACAGTTAGACTCGATTCTATACTCCCACGTTCGTTTGCAGCGTTGCACCTTGCATCACCTTACAAGCTATCACAAGTGTTTTTCCGGAAGTGTACGATATTAATTATACAAGAGCTTGCGACAATAGTGTGAGCCTGCCTTTCAACGCAAATGCTATATATTTTGCAGGAAATTTTATCCTAAAGTAGAAGAAGAAGCAATCATCAGTGCTGTGTCTGGCGTCACAGCCTTTTCCCAGGCATTTGGGTAAGATCCACACACACACCAGAAATTATTCATGCCAACTTCTAAACACACAGGGGATTTATTGGAGCTATTCTTGGAGGATTTATCACTTATTTCATCAGTTTTCCCAAAGCAGTCCTGGTTAGTTATAAAGTCTGTGTGAGAGGATAGAGACAGCTTTACGTGCATAGCTATGCACTTTACAAGCTTACCAAAGATTTATGAAGATCATGTGAGATTTTGACTTCTGCCATCCCTAATAGCTAGCATCTGCCACCACACTTTGGTAGGTAGCCATAAATTTTTTCCCAGGGCTAGATCTCCGATTCACAAGCAGAATGTATTAATACTCAATCTTCTTAACCCGCAGATACTCGGTGAAGCGGTGACAGCACATGTATGTTTCACTTATGAGCTATTGGTTCAGTTTATCAGTTATCTCTCTTCTGCAGGCCTTCCTTGTTCTGGGGGTGACTCTCATAGATACCACATGCTTAACAATTAACAAGCAATAACCAATTCCCCACAGTATAGTTTGGTTTTACACTGCTCTTTCAATTATTAAGAGAATTGGTGTTCCAAATACGTGGGATCGACATACACGATCACATTATAGAGCAAGGGTTTGCAGCCCTTCTGAACTATACTCATTTTTTTATATCCAACTACCAACATGCTATTATTGTCAAGATACATGTGCATACCATCAATCACAAACCAAGTCTATTTCATATTCAGTTTCGACAAAAGCACCTGATAAACACAAAGGGATGAAACTAGACACGCTTTATTTGGCACCACTGGCGATTACAGAGAGCTTGTATAATATGTAGTCTGAAGGAACCTGTTACCTCAATGGGCAAAAGGGATATGATAGCTGTTTAATAGCTAACACAGTTTGCAACTCTTCGATGATTGAGTCAATTATAATGATTATTCCCACCTATTCTCTGCCAAAACACATCGAGTAAGACAGCTAAGACAGTG